CCCCAAAACCCCAAAACCCCAAAACCCCAAAACCCCAAAACCCCTTCAAAACTTTCAAAATTGAATAAATTTGATTTAGCACCAATCATGGACAAGGAAGAAGAGACTAAGAATGAGGATATTGATGAGGAAAAGAATGAATGGGTTAGCCCAGCCCCTGAAACAGGTGAAGGCTTCTATGAAGGAATTCAATCAGAACGCAGCCTGTATTGTTATGTATTATAATTATCTAGTAAGAGTCAGCTTGACTGGGAGGACTTGATTGGATTCGTAGAAAAACAGAAGAAGAAATAATGATATGCTTGAGATTGATGAGCGAATTGACCAAGGTACGATCCTACACCATTTATCCACCCGGTTTGTCTTATAGTATAAAAGATTCTTCAGTCTGAAGATCATCTTTAAATTGTTAATATAGATACCAAAGAAACAAAAGCAGCGATCTTAGAAGAAAGACTTAAAATTCAAGAAGAAATTAATCTTAAGCTAGTAGCTAGGATTAAATTACTTGAATATGCATTACAACAGATGTAAATAAAGTTATAAACCAATTTAGGAGCTCAAAAAGAAACTCCGGGAGACCAGATCTAGCTGGAGTAACTTCAGCGTACAATGATAATCTTGGAATTAAACGATAGAAGTCCCACAAATCAAATATTATGCAATTCCTTGAAGAACTGGGCTGTGAGGATATATTTAACTCACAAGAGGCGAAAGAAATAAAAACAATGTTTTCTAAAAATCCTCAGAATATGTCTAAAAATAAAGCAATACTGGATGCCATCCATAAATTTGATGCCGACTACGATGATGAGATCAAAGAAAATCTTGATGAGGCCCAGAGCCAAAACGGAAGCAATGGAGAGGAGCAGAAGGAAGAACAAGTTAGTGATGAAAGAGAGATGGGCATAAGAACTAAAAATTTTATGAGATTCAGAGATCATGATACATACTCCTTCAAAGGGCATCTTGACACAGTCAGGAATAGAGCGTTTGTCCCACATTTAGACCAAGCTATCACTGTCTCAGAAGATTGTACTATCAGACTATTAGATCTCGGCAATATTGATAAAGAAAGTTACAAAAATTATGAAAATTTTGAGCATAATTATTTTAGTGATGGGTCTGAATTTGCAGGAGACTCATCAAGTTTTTACTCATACTGAACTCTTAGAGGCCATCCAGGCATAGTTACAAAAATTGAAGTTGATAGAATTCAAATTGCACAAGAGCATAAAAATCCTCTATTTTACACAGCAGGTGTTGAAGGCATTATCAGAGCTTGGAGAGTGCCAAAGCCTGAAGATATAAAACAATTTGAAAATGAGGCTGAATGTACTGCTAAACTCTGCCAATATGTATGGGAAGCTCATCCAGGAGAGATGATATGGGACTTGAAATATCATAATACAGAACCTCTTCTTCTCTCCACATCTGCTGATGGAATAATCTCCTTATGGAATCTTGCTGATTATAAGAAATTTGAAAAATTAGCTTCAGAATTATCTAAGATTGAAAATAAGATCCATTCCCAAAGCTTTATTCTAAAAGTGAATGGATCTGAAATAACTCCAACATGTCTTGATTGGTGAAAAATGTTCGCCAGCTCATTTATAGCTTGATCCAATAACGACATTGCAGGAGCATTTGACTACCACAAAAGTGATCCTGTCTTCACTTTCGAATGTAAAGAACCAAGAACTGGTGATCCCTCTTTAAGACAAGTTAACTGCGTGGAATGCCATCCAACCATGAATATAGCTATTACTGGAGCTGAGGATGAAGATATTGGAATATTTGACCTTGAAGCAAAAGGAAAATGCTTGAGGATGACAGAAAATACCCATACAAGTCCTATCAGCAGCATTGCTATCAACCCTAATGGAATAAATTATGCTAGTTCTAGCCATGATGGAACAATTAGATTCTGGGATATAAGAATGCAACAGTTGCATCTGAGCTCCTCGAACACGCCAGTCTCTACTTCTAATGGCACTAAGATGTATGGTGAAATAGCCTCTTGCCATGACAAAAAGTTTGGAGAAAGTATCTGATCCCTTAAAATACACAGCACTTTGCCAATCTTGATGTCGTGAGGAGGAGATAGTAATATAAAATTACATATCGATATAAACATGTAATTCAATCTCTCTCGTGAGTAAGGGGTTTTGGGGTTTTGGGGTTTTGGGGG